ATACCTTACATTTTTATTACTTGCTTTCTCTCTCTCATCTACTTCTTCTTCTACACACACACACACACATTTTTTTGATACCAGGGCTTGAACTCAGGGGTGTGTGACCACTGAGCCACATCCCCAGCCCCTTTTTATTTTGAGACAGGGTCCTGCAAAGTTGCCAAAGCTGGCTCTGAACTCATGATCTGTCTGCGTCAGCTTCCCAAACCACTGGGGCTACAGGCATGCACCATTATGCCTGGCTTCTCATTCACTTCTTAAATCTAACAGTGTGGCAAAGCACTCTTGCCTTCCTAACATTTTAACCAACAATCCCTGGCTTCTGCATTTGACATTGGTTATCTGCTTTTCTGGGATCTGACTCCTCTGTGAAGTCCATGACTGTGTCCTGTCTCTCTCTCTCTTTTGATTCCTCCTTCTTAATCTCCTTTCCTGATAATGCTCCCATCACAATTACACTTTCTCCTCTGTCAATATTCACTATGAATGACCACAAGGTACTTCATTCTAGCAGGGCAACTCTGTCAGATTCCTGTGTGTCAATGGTTTTGCCTGTATACCAAATCTCCCAAATCATTTTCATCAAATAAACAACAGTTTTCATTTTTTTGTATGATATGTAATTTCACTTTAACTACTTGAATCATGTTATAATCAACAAGTCCTGATGCTAAAGGAAGAGGATGGAAATATGCAGGGAAGAAAGTTGGGGGTTAACTAGCAGTGAGTGGAAGCTCACTAATAACTATTTGCTTTTTATGAGATTTTTTTGCTTCCCTACAAAACCTCCCAATTTCAATAGTTCAGATCATGAACTCTCAGACAATAATGATTTCATTTTGTGATAAGCACCCAAATCTTTAACCCAGGTTACTCTCTTGAGCTGCAAACATGTACTTTCCCTGAGATACAAACATTCCCTCTTGCCCATAAGGCAAATTCACACACATCATTCTAATTTCAGCTCAGACATCACCTCTGCAGTTATGCCTTGCAGCAATTCCCCTGATGGCAGGCAAATTTATTAAAAAAAAAAAAAAAAGAAAATTCACTAAAAGGCATGCCTTTATATTTAAGACAAAATCAAAAGCTGTCCTAACAAAAGGGTTATTTAAAATGCAAGTGGGAGTAGGAAGAAGGAGTAGAGAAAAAAAGAAAATATAATTCAACAGAAAGAAATGAAGTTTGCTGCGGCTGGGGATATAGCTCAGTTGGTAAAGTGCTTGTCTGGCATGCATAAGGCCTTGGGTTCAATCCCCAGCACTACCAAAAAAAAAAAAAAGAAGAAGGAAAAGAAATGGAGTTTGCTTCTATCTTTAAAAAACATTGACTAATAATAATAATAATAAAAAAGAACAGTTTGAATAGGAATTGGCCAGGTGACAAGGTTCTGACATAATATCCCCCCATCACCCCCAGGTGGGACAAGAAGGGGCATTTCAGATAAAAGGATACAACCTGGTTCCTGACTGAGTGCTTGGCTGAGGTGCCTGGTTAGTGATGAAATTAAAATGGTAGACAGATGCCAGAATTTTAGGAGCAACAAATTATGGGTTTATTATAATTTTTCTCTTGATAATTATCTGCTTATAATATTAGGCGAGGCTTGCACTTTCCACTTTATATCTAGATTTAAATGACATATTTTCCTAAATGATTTTTCAGAAACAAGACATTACCTATGAAAATAAAAGCTACATTTAGCTGCATTTGGTCTTACTGTAAAAAAACAATTCAACAGTATCATAATATAGAAGTGTTAACAGCATCTTCCTTAAAAGAGGGAATCCTAAAAAGGAAAAATGTGCATGATTTCTTTCTTTTGAGAAATCAAAGCACTTATCCTTTCATAACACATAGGACTAAGAGGAGGAAAGGCTAAGAATGACTATTTTCAAGATTAGGGAAAGTGAAAGACAGGAAAATTAGTGATTTCCTTCATTCTAAGTTGCATGTTTTTCACACTATGACTTTTTAAAAAATCAAGATGGAATTCAAACTATTGATTTAATGTCATCTTTTGGTGGGGAGGGTCACATTACAACTATGGGTATAATTTGCATTAAGGAAATGGTAAAGGATTTGGGTCAAAGTCAGTAAGCAAGAAAGTGGTAGACTCGACTAAAAAAATTCTATAGAGTTATTAATGTATACTAATAGGAATATAGTGGACTTTTTGGCTTCTTCTTTATTAATTTAATTAAATATATTAGGCCTACTTAATACTAGCTCTTCCCTGAAACAAAAGTCATACAAAACACTTTTTTACCCTCAAGAAGTACATATTCGAGGGCTGAAGCTATACCTCAGTGGCAGAGTGCTTGCCTAGCATGTGTGAAGCACTGGGTTTGATCCTTAGCACCATACAGAAATAAATAAAGGCATGCTATTCAAACACGACTACTAAAAAAAAGAAAAGAAAAAGAAATAAAAATTTAAAAAATACATAATCAAATAGAGATGCCTAGACAATTACCCATAAAACAAAACAGACTGGGATTAACATCAGAAGAATGATACAAAACAAGAAATAAAAATGCAGAAAAGTGGCAGTCACTTCCAGTCCGGACATCAGGAAAATCTTGGCATATAGCAAGAGCTCAATAAATGCTGACTCTGCAGGCCTTACAGAAGACCTGGATAAGACTGAGGAGGACTGACAGATTTTCTGAAGAAAAATCTGTGACAAGAAGGTACTCCAAGAAGAGGGAGCAGCAGGGCCTGGGGAAAATCCCAGAAACCAGTCACTGGCTCTACTGGCAAGGTGGGAAACACAGAGAAAGAAAGCTAGAAAAACAAATAGGAATTAAAATATGGAATTTATTGAAGCTCAAACTGAAAAACCATGAGGGAACAAAGAAGTTGCCTCCTGACAACTGACACATTTCAGAAAGATTAAACTGACAAGTGAACTGTACTGGTGGAATGACAGTGGGGAGAAAATGCTACTTTACAGAGTCAAGTATCCAATATTCAGTGCCTAACAGCAGCAATGCGGAGAAAGGTATGCCTTCCCTTTGAACTGCATAGGGAATTTTTGGACAAGTACATATTTCATAAGGGTGGAGCACCAACTTGTTAATATTATAGCCACACTTCTTCCTGCACAATCCTTTATTTACCCATAGTAGGTCCTCAATAAAAAAAAGCTGAAATGCTGTGGCTGTGGTTGAGTGGTAGGGCACTTGCCTCATATGGAGGAGGTCCTTTTGAGTTGGATCTCCAGTACCACTACCACAAAAAATAAAATTAAATTAAAAAAAAGTTGAAAGGTAATCTGCAAAGTCTAAACTTGCCTGTTTGCTACTGCTAAAATAATCTGTTACTCTTCCATTTCTCAAACCTACTCATCTTATAGTTAATCTGACACCTTCCCAATCTCATTTTTTTTTAAATAATCTAAATGGTTTTAGAACCCTCCTTTCTTTCCAAATATACCACACCATTTTGTTACCAAACATTTTGAAAACACTGCTTTTACCCAGGATTTTACATAGAAAGCCATCAGTTTCCATTCACATGCAACCCTCCCACCCAAAAATGCTGAAAAAAAGCACACTAACTTTCTTCTAAGGCAGCAAACAACATGCTTCCATAGTTACTTATAGAACCTGCTACATCATTAGCGCAACTACAAGTTGCTGCTTACATTTCCAAAGTTGTGCAAAGGGTCCAAAGTTGTGCAAGAGTAACCACTGAAATCAGACTCTGGTATATTAATAGTTATAACACCTGAACAGTCTTATGTTTATTATTAGATTCAAAGTAATGCCATAATCGCAGGTATTAAAAATATTTTACAAGTTTGCTGATATATTTGTGAAATATACTAGGATGTTATTTTAATTGAAAATAATTGACTTTTCTTCTGCTTCTAATGGACATGAGGTCACCCGAAAATTAGCAGTTATGACCCAGGACTTGACACGACTGACATAGCGTCCCCAACATACACACACATAGGCACACACCCAGAGCAGTGATTGGCCTTGCATTACTATCAAGTCAAAAAAAAAAAAAAAAAAAAAAAACCAGTTTACACGTGGCAAAAGTAGCCAGAACTCTTTGGTGCTTTAATGACCCCGAAAGGGATTACCCACTCGTCTATTCATGTGATGTAACTTATTGACTTCGGAGTTGAGGGTATTAAAAATAATAATGTTTTTTTTTTTTTTTAAAGGGTTTCTCCTCCATTCAGCTGGCTGTTCTACACCAAGGGAGCGCCTTGTTCAGGCCTGGGCGGGTGCGTGCAGGTCGGAGAAGGTGGGACTAATCCGAAAAATCAAGACTAGGGTCACATCACCTTCTGCTCTCTTTTGCCTCCCTATTTCTCTGGGGCCGCGAAGAGACCCAAGAAAGGAGGCCCTAGAGACGGAGTGCAGTGATTTGAGACGGGCCCTGGCGGCTCCGTGCCGGGCGGCACTGCTGTCACACAGTCTCCCAACCCGGCATCGCAAACGGCCGCCGCGGCTTTCGGCTGCAGGGCTGGCCGGGCGGGGGCCGCGGACCGGGCCTGGCCAGACCAGGCCGCGGCCGCTCCAGTGCCCACGTCACCAGCTCCAGCACTGCGGAAATGGAGCGGCGAGGCCGGGAGGGAGGTGCCGGGTGGAGTCTGCGCCCGCGACGCCGCAAGGCGCCGTTTGCCCCTCGGTCCCGGCCCAAGGGCCGCAGACAGCTGCTGGGCCGCGCCCGAAGCCCTCACCTGTGTCGCCGATGATGATGTACTTGAAGAGATAGGCGTACGCCATGGCCGCGGCCGCTCGGTGCCAGGGCACACGGCTCCTCCTCCTGCTACTGCTCCTCCTCCGCGCCCCTCACCCCGGCGCCGCTGCCTCGAAACGCCAGGCCCCGCCCGCTGTCGCCGCCGTGGCCGTCAGCCGCTGGGAGTGAGGGGCCGAGAGGAAGCGGTACAAACTGACACCCGCGAAGCCGAGTGAGACAGCGCCCGGCTGAGCCCAGCCGAACAATAACAGCCGCCTCGGTGCCTCCGCCCCGCCTCCGCGCCGACCCGGAAGTGCTGCAGCCGCCGGCGCCGCCGGAGGAAAGGGGAGGAGCTCTGCACGCCGGCCGCGCCCCGCCGGCCGGAGCCCCGCCGGCCGGAGCCCCGCCTAGCCCCGCCGGAGTCCCGCACCGCGCCGAGCCAGCCGCGCCCCTTGCGTCGGGTCCCCTGCGACCCTGAACGGGGCGAGGCGGGCGCCTGTTCTGGCACGTTTGAGTTGGCTACTACGGCGGCCGGGAGACGCTCGGGCCGGAGCCGCGGCGGGGGTGGGGGTTCGGCTCCGTCGTAATCCGCGCGCGAGCGACTAGCCTTCTGCCCTTCGGTGAGGCGCGGGCACTTTGTGGGAAGGCAGGGGTGACGTTCGGTTGGGTTCAGGACCCTGCCCTGGGATGGTCCTGCCCTGAGATGGTGAAAAGATATTTGATAATGTGGGAGCCACTGACAGTGGGGTGAGGGGCGATGATATTTCTGTTTGTGGGCCTTGAGAATAGTAATGAAAGTAGTTTTTTGTAAATTGGAAACTATAAACCAGAGATGGAAGTAAGTTGTACATCCTTTCCATGAAATACTACACTGTCTCAATTTTTAAAAATAAACCTGATTTATCTTCCGTGAATACAAAGCAACTCTTGTGTATAAATATATAAGACGTGCCTAACATTTTTTTAATATTTATTTTTTAGTTGTATTTGGACACAATACCTTTATTTTCTTTATTTTTATGTGATGCTGAGGATTGAACCCAGGGCCTTGCATGTGCTGGGGAGCTCCCCACCCCCGCAGCACCTAACATTTTAAAACATACACACACACACACACACACACAGGGTTTATGTACATGTGCATATAACGTATATGTTATTTTATATGAATATGGGTGTTTTTGTTTTTGCTTTTGTTTTGCAGTGCTGAATATTGAACCTAGGGCTTCTTTACTCAGGAAAGCTAGGCAAGCACTCTTACCCTGAGCTGCATCTCAGCCCAATTTTTGTTTACCATGTATAAAAGAATAACAGGAATACACTTAAATACCCATATGTGCATAATAAATTTGGGGGGGAAATGGGGACTAAGGGAAGAGATGAGAAGGGGAGGAAATTATACTTTTCACTGAATTTTTTGTGCAGTTTGAATCTTTTTGCAGGGTTCGTGAATTATCTACTGAAAACTGTTAAAGGAAAAAGCAAAATGACATTCATTCAACTAATGTACCAATGCATACTGTTTCATGCACTCCTAGGCATAGCAATTGAAGACACACATTTTAAGAAGCCCAGGTTTGGGGACTAAGGGCGTAGCTTAGTGGTAGAGCCATTGCCTAGCATGCCCAAGGCCCTTAGATCCCCAACACAGCCAAAATGGGGAAAAGGGTTGGGAGGGTTGGAGGGAAGACAGGTTTGGGTTAGGTGACAAAAAAGATTACCAGCAAAGATTACCTAGAGTAGATTGTATTTGAATTATGAATCATTCATTCAGAAATATGAATGCTAAATAAGAGTTTATCAAATGGACAAAAGTCTAGGGAAAGCAACCAAAGTTTGAGCGTGAAGAACAAAGATTCATGGATCCATTTAGGAAATTTCAAGTTGCTTAAAGAAATTAATTTGCTAACATCTGAAGTTTCATAAAGAAGCTAATTTACTAACATTTGCTGTTGGCAATGGAAAGAGAATCATTGATGGGAGAGAAGTGACTGTGATTCAGTGGCCCTGGTTCTTGTTGCCTAATATACTCTTTTCCCACTAGGGATCTCTCCTTACTGATCTCAGTGATTACTACTGACACCACTGTGTTGGGCTGGCTGTGGTTGGTTCCTGAATGGTTGGATGGCTTGCCAAGAGTGAACTCACAAGGTTTTTCTGGAATATTTGGAAGGAAATTGACTAAAGATTTAGTGATAGAACATAGTAATATGTATTTTTTTTTATTTTTTTATTTGTGGGATTGTGGATTGAACCCAGGGCCTCCTGTATGCCAAACAAGTGTTCTACCACTGAGTAGCATCTCCAACCCTTTTTCAATTTTTTTTTTTTTTTTTTTTAATTTGAGACAGAGTCTTCCTAAGGTATCCAGGCTGGCCTCAACTTAATTCCTTCTGCCTCAGACTGCAAAATAGCCAGGCAGGACACAAGAATTTGACATGAAAAGTTAACCTAAAATTGCATAATCAAGTTCACTTGTCTTTAGATTGGAGCAGAGGAGGTCTGTGTCCAAGACTTCAGGTTCCATAGGCTGTTTTGTCCTTTCTTGAGTGGCTTCACCCAGGTTTTCCCTGTATGATGGATAAAATACCCAAATTCTTATTCTCAGAGGAATGGCCTTTACCACCGCAGGCTTAATAGGACAACTCCCAGGATGTTACATAAGCCTACCATCTTTAAGAACCAAGAACATTCCCCTGTTGTTCAAAGAGATGTCTTGCTGGAGAAGTCCCTTATGCCAGGCCATTAATCTAGCCTTGCCTCCTTAATACATATATGGAATTTTACCTAGTAGCCACAAGGGAAAGTGTGAAGGGAAAGAAAGTCAAAATAGGTTATATATTATTATTTGGATATCAAGTATTCCCTCAAAGATTCATCTGTTGAAGACTTGGTCTGAAACAATGTTCAGAGGTGTCGTTTCAGGGAAGTGATTGGATTGTGAACACTCTGTTCTTATCAGTGGATTAATCCTTTGATATTAATCCTTTCATCAGTCCCGAATGGACTGGAAGATGGTAGAAACTAGAGGCTGATGGGCATGGTTGGAAGAAGTGGTCACTTTGGATGTGCCCTTCGGAACTGTATCTATTCATTGGCTCCTTCCCCTCTCTCTGCTTCCTGGTGCTATGAAGTGAACAGCTTTGCTGTACCATGTCCTTGTACCAAGATGTTCTGCCTCACCTCAGGCCCAAAGCAATGGAGCTAAATGACCATGGTTGGAAACCTGAGAAACCATGAGCCAAAATAAATCTTTCCTAATTTGTTTTTCTCAGGTACTTATAACAGTGATGAAAAGTCGACCAGCTGTGCATGCCTCTCTGTAATCCCAGCAGCTCGGGAGGCTGAGGCAGGAAGATCATGAGTTCAAAGCCAGCCTCAGCAACTCAGTGAGAACCTGTCTCTAATAAAATATAAAAAAGGACTGGGGATGTGGCTTGGTGGTTAAGCGCCCCTGGGTTCAATCCCTGGTACAAAAAAAAAAGAAGAAGAAAAAAGAAAAGTTGACCAACACAGTATATAACAAATATTATAGAAATAGATATTCAATGTAAAGAAAAGAACTCAGGAAACCTGGCTTCTGGCATTGGCCTTACCACTGACTGGGTGATTGTGACAAATCATTGACCTCTAAGCACTTCGATGTGGTGCTAAAGTTTATTACTTAAAAGTGCTATTCCATGTCTGAAGTTCTTTAGTTTTCTGTCTATCCAACCTCCAGATCTAAAGCCACCTGTAAAGGAGGTAATAATGCTTCCCTCATGAAAATGTCAGTGCATCAAATGTATGTTATTACCACATAGAACTGAAATGCATTATGTATTTGTATTTAAGAACTGTAATAGTCATTTGCTGCAAAGAATGAAAAGAGTAAGGACTTGATTTTCAAATTTTTCCCTGAACCTGTTTTCTTACCTGGAAAATATGGATTATAACTGCCTCACAAAGTCAGTTTAGTATCAAATAAGATAATGGATGGGCTAGGGGGTGTAGCTCGGTGATAAAGCACTTCCCTAGCATGTGTACGGTCCTTCCTTTGATCCCCCGGACCACAAAAACAAAAACAAAAACCAACAACATAAAGCTTTGAGGGAGGAAGGATCTAAACATTTTGTAAATTCATGTTTTAAAATAAGCTTCATTTCTGGCTATATTTTAAGTCTCTTTTCCCCCACAGGTAGGTCATGATATTTTGTGATATTTTCTCTCACCATATAAACATTTTCAGTGTTCTCTGTGACATTTCAAAGTATAATACTATATTACAATTGAACATTTTCTGCTCCCAACTAAACTTGCATGTTTTCACTTCCTCTGTGTTTGATTACTCTCAGATTGTGAAAAAGAGAAGGGAGGGTTGAGGTAGTAGAAAGATTTGGAAGACTGCAATTTTGAATTTCTTACCTTGGCTTCCATGGTTTTGTAGCCAGCCCTTCTAAAATGGTTTGCAAAATGATGTATGTATTTGCATATGTGCAATTTTATGGGAGAGAATCATCAGAGAATCATGACCTAGAAATAATTAAGAACTACTGTGAAATGCCTTCTTTCAGTCATTTCTAAATACCATGACAGACTGTTTTTCCAGCAAACACTTATTAAGCTCAGTACAAAATTTTGGAAGAAGAATTAGAATCAAATCCTGATTTTCACCTTATCTGTTGAGTGATCTTGGATAAATTACTGAATTCTCCAAGGCTTAGTTTTCCCATGAGATTATATATATTGTGTGTTTAGCACAACATCAGACACACAGTAGATAACAAACACTGAAGTCATTGTCCCTTGCCTTCACTCATTCCTTTTCCTCTATTCCAGCTAGTCAATAAGAACTGTAGGAGTTAAATGACCCCAACATTGACCGGTCTTACAGGAGATGAGAGTCCCTTTCTGCTAAGTCATGAGAAGCTTTGGCCTGATGAAGGCTACAGCAGAAGTACTATATTATTTTAGAGAGAGGGATTTTGTTCTGGGAAATGAGAGTAGATTTTACAAAGGGAGAGTCAATTGAGCTGAGCCTTCAAGGCTCAGTTTTTATAGTTTTTAAACTTTTATAGTTATTGCTTTAACAAGTCCTTTCAAATGCATCAGTACTCTTCATTGCCCTTTGTTTTTCTCCTCTGCCTGACCCACCATTTTTATTGTAATTGAGCAACATTCTTAGTGGTCCCTGTTTTGACTTCTCTTTTCAAGACTATATCTGCCCCTTCTATTCTATTCTGCTCTTCCTTCAAAAATTTACTTGAACAATCAAAAATTAATGCTATCAAACTCACTTTCTTTCAGGCACAGTGGTGCATACCTATAATCCCAGTTTACTTGGGAGGTTGAGGCAGAAGGATCATAAGTTCCAGACTAGCCTAGGCAACTTAGTTTGACCCTATATCAAAATAAAATAAAAGGAGTAGCTGGGCGCAGTGACACACACCTGTAATCCCCCAGTTGAGGAGGCTGAGGCAGGAGGATTGTGAGTTCAAAGCCAGCCTCAGCAATGGTGAGGTTCTAAGCAACTCAGTAAGACTCTGTCTCTAAATAAAATACAATATAGGTTTGGGAACGTGGCTCAGTGGTTGAGTGCCCCTGAGTTCAATCTCCAGTACAAAAAACAATAATAATAAGA